ACAATTACATAAAATACGAGTTAACAGCACAGATTCTCCAGTTATCGAGTGCAATTCAGTCGGATCTCGCGGGCCATCAATTTCTCCCGGGAATAAACGCTGAAATTTGCGGAACTTTCTGTGACAGGGAAAAGGCAAAGTGGAGGAGGAGTCCCGAAGATCTTCAATTTCGTTCGCCGATGTATTCGGCGTTTTCGGAGTCACGAGCGTCGGAACTAGGCGAAATAGGAGGGAAAAGACTCGCCCTTTTCAAACGTCCTCCTTCTCTCCGCGTTTCTTATCATTATACGGTGTAACGTGGGTAGTATACGCAAGTATAGTCGGCCAGACAAGTGGAACAACGACGCGAAGTGGGAAAGATGTTTTTTTCAAGGGCGTATTATCACGTTTCCACGAGTGGGGAACAAGAGGAACGCTCCAGAGTCGCGAGCCGCAGCTCCTTTTTATTAGGACAATGAGCGTCTTTATGTGCTTTGTGACTGTGACTTCGCCTCGTAACGCGTGCAGCTCGAAAACTAGAATTTTTAGACTTCGCAACTTGATGAGAGAAAAATGTTCCAGACAGTTTCGTACAGTTCTTCGAGCATTCTTCTTATTTCGTTAACAGATGAGAAGTTGGAGATAACGTGTGTACACGGTGGACCGGCAAAAACACTTTGGACATCTGAACTATGAAAGTGAGAGAAATATTTTTCGTACGGAAGATGTTTCGTGTGAAATGGACCGTCTTACGGTTGTAACCGAACTTTCATTGGAAATTTGTTTTTCACTCTCGTGGCTGCAAAGAATTATTCTCATACTCCAAACAGGATATTTAATTTATTACGGTGCATTTCTTTTTTAATCAAATTTTCCTTCCAAAGTATAATGCATAGAATTTTGTACAATTTAAATTTCAGTAAAATAAAAACAAGTGTCGCCAAGAAAAATACTTTCATTATAGTATTTCTTCCTTTAAATCTCGAACATATGAAATTTGCTTTCCAAAGTACGTAGAATTTTGTATAATTTGAATTTCACTAGAATAAAAAGAAATATTTTTCTCTCAGTATCCATAATCTATAACTTCCTCGTTATACGAATAAAAATGAATTTAATCGGCCGAGCAAATCCTCCAGTGTTTTGTTGTCCTATTTACAGCCCTCGTCTATGCTCGATTGGCGAATTGAACGCGGCAAAAACAGCCCTCGAACTCCTCGAAACGAAGAACTGTTTACCAGTCGACGAAAGCTCCTCTTTAAACAATTGTCGAGCGTAAGGTTACTCGATTATCACGTTCTTCGCAGCCCGAAAATTCACGTGTACCAGTTTCGTCTTGTTTATTCATACGCCGTCTCACAATTTCCTGGCAATTCAGTACCGGGGATAGTTCATATTTTCAGATCTATCGATTAGTTATTGCCATGTGGCGTCGTAAACATGCACGACCGCTCTGGGCCACGCATTATAGCCGAACACGTTTGAATATACGTTTAACATTCCATATTCAGAAAGCCGGCCGCATAGATGGTCGATCTCGATTTATGGTAGATCCGAGTATTCGCGGAACGTCGGATTTATCGCGAGCTTACACTCGGACCCGGTGCTTACCTAGATCTCCGGTCCGGTGCGTCTTTGATCTCGCGGAATATTTATGAAAAACGTTGCTTAAATTTCCTTAACTAAGCTGCACAGGGAATCGCAACGTTTCTGGATGGAAACGGAGGAAAAAGTGTTCGTTAAGCTTCCTTCGTTATTTATCGAATAGCAACTTTCCAGAAGTGGGGTTTTATGTAAGTGAACCGTGATGGGAAAAGTAGATTCGTATCTATACGAATAAAAGCAGACGTTCCGAAAATAAATTTGGAAAATTACAAACGATAATACTTACTAATATCGCAAATTCACGTTCTTCTGAAAGATGCTAATGGGTCATTTAGACTCGGCTCGTTTTATATCGATAAAAATAGAAGCATACCTGTCGAAAATAAATTGGAAAAGTTGCAAACGATAATACTTACCGGTATCGAACATTCGCGGAATATTTATGGAAAACGTTGCTTAAGTTTCTTTAACAAAGTCGCACACAGAATCGCGACGTTTCTTGATGGAAACAGAGGACGAAAAAGTGTTCGTTGTGCTTCCTTCGTTATTTGTCGAATTGCAACTTTCCTAAAGTGAATTTTCAAGCAAGTATACTGTGACTGGAAAATTCGTTTCGTATCGATAAAAATAGGAATATACATGTAGAAAGTAAATTCGGAAAGTTACAAACGATAATATAATACTTGTCACGTTTTTTCGTAAGATGGTATTGGGTCATTTTGACTCTGCTGGTAATTCTAGCGTTAAACTGTGTTTCGTCCATTCGAATCGTTCGATAAATGATGAACGAATTTCGTGTCTATTAAGAAACATCGCAATCCGGTGTGTACCTTCGGTAACAAGAATATCCACCGAATTCGACGTATCCCACTGAGGAATATCTCACGAAGGGATGTATTTGGTATCCAAGGAACCGTGTGCCACGTTCGAACGTGTGTCGGAAGGTTTGATACATCCGAGGCTCGTGGTAAAAATCGCTCCGTCTTTCTCGACGTTTCCATTGAGCGATCTCTCTCTGTAGAGGGTAGTTCTCTCGAAATGCAGAAAAATTCATCGAAGAAAGGGACGATCGCGTACACAGGGCCAGAAGAAAGGACAACGACCCCTTGGTTGCTTTCATCTGCGAGGAAATTGCGCGAACGATGAATCTCGTCGTCAATCGTGGAAAAGGAAGAGCGAGAAAGGAGGAGAGAAACGACGATTGAGGGAGCGTGAAACGTATTCAGCGCATCGAGCAAAGATTGTAACGAGAAATTTCGTTCCGCGATGAAACTGAGGGTTTCACTGAATGATACTTATTGCAAGAAAAAGAAAAGAAAAGAAAAGTGAGGATCGTGCGACACGCTAACTGCACGTTACTTTTAACCGACGTAGAAACAGATGAAGAAGAGGGGAAAGAAGAGAAAGAAGGGTAGTAGGCGGTCTGGATTTTGCGCTTATTTTTCCTAGTCGCGTGACGAGTGACTTTGTGGCCTCGTGTTTTCTCATGTACGTTCGTTGCTGGACGATATAAATCCTCCACCACGGCTAACTTATATCTCGGTCACTTGGAAGAAACTTTGGCCGGCCAGAGAGAGAGAGAGAGTGGAGGAAACGGAACGAGATTCGAGGGATGATTTACGCTGGCCGATTAACGAGGGAAAATTTTGCGAAACCGATGTATATCAAATTGGGGAAGATCAATGGACGAAATTATGGGGGCAACCAGGCCGGTCAGTGGGACTTGGTTCTCCTCTCTCTCTCTCTCTCTCGTGGACATTTCAATAACTCGGAATCCAATATCCTAACTGCGAGGGTGAAAGAGGAAAACCTCAAAACGAGCTTATTCGGATTCTTCGCCGGGGAATAATCAACGAAGAATTTCCACGCTTCCTTACTAGACTGCTCATCTTCCGTGATTATTTCTTTTAAATACTTCAATTCGACGGAACTCCATATTCCAATTAAAGGAACGAGCCCTGCCCTCTCTGTTTTGTTCTGCCCTCTGCTTCCTTTTTTGCTTTTCGTTTCGATTATTTTATGAAATTATGAAAGAGGAGGAAGTAATTTAGCTTTCTTGCTGAGAAGAAACGCTCACGTGCATTCTGTCTTGTGAAATTTGTAGGGTTTCGTTGATAACGACGGAAGGAAGTTGACGTATTCGAATTGAACGGTTTCTGTGGTAATTTTCAATTCTTCGGAATAAATGTGCTTTTTTCAATTGTAACGTGCTTTCTTGGGTTTCTTTGATTTTTATTGCACATATATGCACATATATCTTCTAAATATTGTAATGTGATGTGTGCATTAAATGAGACTAATTAATCGAAAATTAATTCAGTTGAAATATTGGGATATGATTTGAAGATTCGTCGATATCGATATTCGATGGGAATATGCGAAAAGAAAATTATAAGGAACGTGAAAACTTTAGATAAAAGTGGAAAAAATACGAATTATTATATTTGTCTGTTAATATACTTATCACTCTTAAATTTCACATGTTTCCTTTGAAAGTAACATATTCTTCGTATTGTTTATGCAAAATGAATATTTTGTTGAATAATTGCTTACAATATTTCAGTGTTTTTTAAACAGCACTTTTCAAATTTAACGACTTTAATTTTCGAAGGTAACGTTCTAGGGATCGAGTTTATGTTACTCTTCTTCCCTTGTCTGACTATAAACTGCTGATACCACTTTCTCTAAACTACTTCAGCTAACATGTTCGAATCTCAATATATTTTGATACTCGTTACACATTTTCTCGTGAAATTCATATTTTCTATACTGTTAATGGCTTTCGAGATTAAACATTTACTGTATATTTACAAAAAGTTAAATCTGTTAACTTACATACACTTTAATAATTCGTTTTTTCGTATTCGATTCATATATTTCCTTCAATTTTTCTCAAATTTTGCTTTCCCTTACTTTCAATTACTACAAACTCACCACCAAAAATGGCTTAAGATACCGAAATCCTGATCCAAAAGATGAAGGTTTCAAAATCAAACATTTACTGTATATTCATAATTATGCACTCACATACATTCCAATAATTCATTTTTTCCCAAATAACAATTCCTACATTTCCTTCAATTTTTCTCAAATTTTCTTCTCCCATACGTTCACGTATTACAAACTCCCCACCAAACCACAAAAATAACTTAAGACACCGAAATCCGGATCCAAAAGATTAAGGTTTCAAAATTAAACATTCACTGTATATTCATAAACAGTTAAACCTGTAGAGAATTATGCACTCACCTACATTTCAATAATTCATTTTTTCCCCGAATAACAATTCATACATTTCCTCGAATTTTTCTCAGATTTTCCCATACGTTCGCCCACGGGAAATTATCAAAGCCCCCAAAATGACTTAAGACACCGAAACCCCGATCCAAGAGATCTCCAACCGCTCCATGAACACAATGAAACCAACGAAACTCTCACCCTCTCCGACCGAAGAAATCCGAAAATCCGATCTAGCCGACAATCGAAGGACACCTAAAGTGAAATCATCTGAAGCTGCTCTCGATCCTATCGACTGCAACGAGTCTCGAGAAATGGCAAACGTTAGGGGTCCTTTCGCCGAATCCGGCGATCCTCAGGTAACTCCGCGCAGAGACGAAACTCGCGAAACGGGAACGGGCGATACTGGCCTCGGCCTGTATCTCGGTCAAGCCGCAGAAATCTGAAATTATCGAGGGTAGTGGAGGAGGAGGTAGGCGGAGGTGGGTAAAAGGAGGAAAGGGAAGCCGCGGGAGTGTTGCGGCAGAGGTAAGACAGGGGCGGCGGTCTCTCGATCTCGCGAGGGTGAGCAATGGCGAGAAAAAGAGAGGCACAGCGGCTTGACTGAGGGGTGAGGCTGAGACTGAGTGCAACCGGGGGAACTCTGTGCTCGTGAACGGGGAGGAGGGATTCGGCTCGGTGGTGTCGAAGGGGAACAAGGGGCGTGCGTGCATTATGGGGAAACGTTGGAGGGCGCAGTCTCGGCTGGCGCGCCGGGCATTCACGTTCGCGAACCGCGTGTTCGTTGCTCAGTTTCGGTCCAGGTGCAACTGCACGCGCTTCCTTCTAACATCCGTCTCTCCTCGTGCTTCCTCCTGTGTCGAACGAATTTCGCCGCGTATGATCGCGATAGTACGCACGTGAAAGAAAGAGGAAGCAAAAAAAGAAAACGGATCTACTCGTGATCGTCGAAGAAGAAGAAGATACACTTCCACTGACCCAACATTGGAAACGTTCACCGAGAGGGTGGAACTACTCGTAATCGTCGAAGAAGAAGAAGATACACTTCCACTGACCCAACATTGGAAACGTTCACCGAGAGGGTTTATCAGTTAACTTTTCTTTTTTTCGTTTCCGTGTCTTTTCTGTTCGTCTATTTCCAACCCTCTTCTGAGAGAGAAAAAGCACAGAGATTGAAGATCGAAGATCGGAGGTAGAAGCACGTGTCCACCTGGATTTTCCATCTCCTTCGTGAGAATATGTAATCGGTTTCTATCCTGGTGCGACAGTACTCGTTTCTACGAAATGGGACGCGAGATCGGCTATCAGACGACCATAAGCCTGTAATTCCCGTTTCAGCTACGCGGCTCGAGCGTCGATCCTCGCACTTTACCGAACTGTTTTCTTCCTCTTCGACCTCGTGGACCATCGTCGTCGACGCTGCCTCAGAAAGACTCGCGGCTCTCCTTTGACGGCGCTGACCGAGTGACAGCGAGATTCGACCGTTGCTGGTGGATTCGCGCGGGGAAATAATTAAAGCGCCGGCTCGATTGACACACGCACACGGTGGTGGTAGTAGCGCGCGATCGTTAGAGGCTCTCTCCCATTCGTTAAAAGCTGAAGAAGGTTCCGGTGAATGTGTGTGGTGGCTGGAGCAGCACGTGAAACATTGTGGTTCCCACGCTGAGAACGGTTACGCGCGGTCAACGATTTAACCTGCTCGAAAACATGGACAGAAAAAAAAAGGGTACACGGTAATTAACCTACGGCGATTCTCGGAAGCCAATTAACCGAGGCATTTTACACCAAGTGACGAGAGAAAATTAATTGCGCAAAGTGTGGGGCCCGTTTAGACACACGTCGACCACCCCAGTTGGATAACCGAGAAAGTTCCGTTCCTCGAACGACGACGACGACGTCGAGGACGTCCATCGTCGAGAGAACTTTCGATCGGTAAAAAGAGAGAGAGAATTTTCACCCGTGCTTCGATTTCTCAAAGTGACATCTCCCGCGTTATCTGCCGCATTCAGTGTCGTTTATTTACGTATCGCTGTTGTATTTATTAGCCTCGAAGCCAGTTCACGAAGCGACGTCGATCACGCGGTGCGGAAAAATCGACGAAATTTAATTCGTCTCTCGTTATTGGGCCGCCGGGCTACGTATACATATATATATATATAGGTAAAAGTTCGATCATCCTTTTTCTTTGTTCCCGTTTGTTTCGCTATTCGAGCGTCCGGCTCGATTGGCTGCAAGCAAAATATTTCCGTTTGACGCTCGCGTTCCGCTCGTTCCTTCCGTTTCGTCGTTTTCTCGCTGGACGCTCGCGCCCCTGTGGCTGATCGTCGATTAAACGGTTACGTTCTGTTTGCACTCGGCGTCAGAAAGTTCCTACCTCTGCCATTTACGAATCACCGCGATTCAGTTCTGTGTCCCCGGATCTCTCGTATACAACGCAACGGAGAACAGTGAAGAGAGAAAGAACCACACAGGAATAACGAATAAGAAGAAAAAAAAAAAGGAACAAGAAAACAAAAGGAGACAAGCATCGAGGGAGAAGTTGGAGAATACAGTGCAGAGACACCCTTGGAAGTGACGACGATGTTGCTGTTTACGGTTTGGTGGCTTGTCTTCGCGTCTCCTGTGATTCTCGCGGTGCAACGGGCAAAGGAGCTTGGCGACGGAAAAGGTAGGATCTCATCGACGCTGTTAAACCGCGTTTTTCTTTCCCATCCAATTCTCGCGCCGTGTGTCCCTTTTTTTCCAAGCGAAATGTATACAGAAGGCCCTCGCTTGAGAACAGAGTCTTCGAATGGAGACGATTACGGAATGAGAAGCAGCAGACGATAACCCGACGAGAGACAATTGCAGCCGTGCAATAAGAATGCCGGTTGGAACGGGTATAATAGAGACTCGGGTCATTGCCACGCTCAATGACACAAGATTTGCACTTTATTAAAAGACTCTCCCCGCGAATGGGGCGTTCAAGAGTCGAATTAAAGTGCCAGCTTTCTCCTTCTCCTTCTACAACCCTCTCTCCTCGGCTTCTTCTGTCGGACGGCGTGTTATTTTACGCCGGTCTGCGTTACCTTCCTTCCTTCCTCCTCCCTCTCTCTCTCTCTCCCACCCTCCTCGAGTTCGTGTCGTTTCCCTCTTTTAAGTCGATTAAAATGAAAATAACCGGTTGAACGGTTCGATGCCAATCGGAAGTAACAACTCTGGCAAATGGCTATCCGTTTACCTTCTCGCGAAAAGGAATTAATCTCCATTGTACGTTTTCTCTTCCTCCCACTGCTACTACCTACCCGTTCGGTGATTTTAAACGAGCCAATTAAAATCGCTCGGATCGATTCGACCCGATCGCGCAACATCCACGAGTAGCAAGCTGTGTTTGTGTATGTATGTAAAGGGTTTGAAACACAACGTGAAATGCAAACAGCATTTTCTCTGTTTCTGTAGGTTTTTCGTTCCTTCCGTACGTAGTTTTGCAGGAGTTGCCGGCAATACGATCGGTAGGCTGTACGTCGATGACGATTGACATTTATCGAGCGTAAAATTTCGTCTTGCCTCGTAGACGTTACCGTTTCTTCAGTTTACGAGGTTTCGGAAGCACTTTCGACGAAATTCTCATTCCGTAGTACCGTTCGCCACTTTTTGCGGTTTCTATTTTGGCGCCGTTCGAGTGTAATTGCTCGGTGGGAAGAATGAATCGACGGTTGTGCGAATGAAATTTCGGTGCTCTTGATTCGTCTGTTCGTGAATATTGGGACACCTGTTATATCCGTGCAGGAAGTATTGCACGAGTTAAGTTACATTTTCTGAATAAAGTTGTTATTGTTCACGCTATCAGTTTTCAGTGATTTCCTCGTAAATGGTGAATTTGCGGGGAAAATAGGAGAAGGCAAAGTTTCAGTACTTTTCACGCACAATGTTATGCGATTTAAGTTACATTTCTTTGCCAAAGTAGAATGTCATAAATTAGAGAAAATGTGGAGGGTATTGGCGCTATTAATTTTCAGCGTTTCTCTCGCGAATGGCAGATTTATTAAAAAAAATAAGAGAAGACAAAGTTTCACTATTTTTGACGCACAATATGATGCCCTCGACAGTTTTTTAAAATTTGCAACGATTTTCGCGTAATTTCTAAAAATTCTGATAAACATTACACGAAAGCAGTGTCCGAGACGAGTTCACAGCTGACACAGATCATTCTCAACGACTGAATCACTTTTCTAAAAATCTCAAAAATTCTGTAATTGTTCGAATTTGCTTCGCACTTAATAAGTGCCCTGACACTTGCGAACAAAAGTGTGTCTCGTCGATGTTTCCACGTTTATGCGTGCACGAAACGTCACGGCCACCGCTCGCCGACCTTTGTCGCTACGCGATCGCGGCGCGATGCGACCCTTTCCGTTCCGCGAGGGGTAACGCTTCCAAGCGAAGAGAATAATTCCGAAACAATGCGATTGGAGAGAGAATTGGACGTGTTACAAGTCATTTAACAATTTTTCACACGCATTTCGAAGGGGACGACCGGCGAAAGAGGCCCCCGAACAGCTGAATCGCTGACCGTTCCTCGAATCATGCATTCCCGGCACGCAAAACGATGAATGGCCTGGAAACGGGACTGACTCGCGCGAATAACTTTGTTCCAGCAGTTCGAACGTTCGATGCTATCGTTCATTGACAGCTTGATTTTAAATCACGTCCAAAGAGATAACTGCTCCTCTTTTATACGAAAATTTGTCGCTGTATTTGTACCTTCGTGTAACGTGTACAGCTAATTCGTAGAAATGTGTGGGAAGTTTTGGGGAGGTTTTCAAATCGCTCTTTCGCTTTTGTACTTTATAGTTTACAGTGTAACTATATTCTCAAAAAGTATCAGCCTGTCGTGAGAGAAGGAAGAAACGTGATTTCATTTCTGTACTTTACTGTTTACCGTGTAATTATGCTTAAAGGAATATGTCAGCGTGTCGTGAGAAAAGGAAGAAACGTGAGAATTAAATTATGCTGTAATAAATTTTTATTGCAATGTAAAATTTGATAAACGAATGCAGGTCCGAACTGACTTAAGAAATAATTTAGCGAATGTAACGTTACCGATGCAAAATTCTATCCAAGCGTCAAGATATATATACTTCTTTTAAACGCAGTTTGATTTACACTGGTATTTTTTTGTACCGAGAATATGAATTCAATAGAAGTTGCGCGCGGTATTAAACGGAATTATTTTCAACAATGAATTTTTCAAATTCAATAGTGACGTTTGCCTCCTGTTTTTTCTTTTTAGTGTAAACGTGCGTTATTTACAGGTGTAGCACACATTGTTCTTGTGGCTGTTATAATAGTGAAGTGAACGCTGTTTTTTATGGGTCCGTTTAAAGGGAAAAGGAAGAATAGCGAGAGGGCAGAGTAGCAGAAAATTGATCGTACGGTGAAAATTTTTTCATTTAATATGATTTATGTCCTTTTCGAAACTGTGAACCGTGTGACCTCTGTTTCTGCTGGAAATACTAGTATTCGCGCAAATGAAATTATCGACACTTCGAATGTGTTAAAGCATTCACTGAAATTAATATCTCTTTATTTATAATTGAAAATCGGCAGAATATTTTCGAAAGTAGCTACTGTATAAATTGCGAAAATTACATTACCTTAATCTTAAACACATTTCTTTAAAATGCTGAATTATCAGAATTCGTAAAACCGAATATAAAGTTACAGTTCCTCGTAGCTATCTGATAACATTGAGGCATACAGCCATTTCGTGACAAAAATTTCTCAAAAGCACATGAATCTCTTTCGTTATTATCAATTCTGCGAATCTCGATATTTTCTCATTTTATTTACTTTATTTATTTAAATACACGGGCAAAATAATCCTTTGGTATACGTTGATAAACAAGGATGTCCAATTCAAAACGTGAACGATGGATCTTCTGAAATTGTGCAGTGAATTGAATGAAAAAAGTCAAAAGACTGGAAAAAATCGAGAAACTGACAGAAAGTGTTAGAAATGGCGCAAAGACTATCAATACTACCGTATTGACCACACAGTGTCCAGTCAGTTTCAATAAAAATATTTGTGCAACGTCTAGAATGAGAAGAAAATTTCTTCTCGAATAACGATATCCTCAAGAACCTTGTAAACAAATTCCTCAATACTCGCCATCCACAATATTCGTATCATCACTTCGAAATCAACGAACCGAACGTCAAACACTGTTTCCCCGATCCTCCGCGTTCAATAATGTCAGATTAAGCCTCCTTCACCGACGTACGACTATAATATTCCGGATCCAGCGATTCAGGGAATGCGTATGCATGTCAGAGGGGTCAAGTGGCAGGCAGTCTGTGTGTAGCTACACGCGTGTGTGTAGGGAGAAGGGAGTAAATAAGTGCAAACAGTACATGGTAAGGAGTAGTTCAGAAATAGAGCGGAAGTCTTGAGAGGTAGATTTTCTTACACCTGCTATCTCTGTCCCTTTGCTGCTATCAACCCTTTGCACTCGAATGCCCTTTTTCTATAGGGAAGTAGCAAAAATGAATGTGGGATTTTGTTGATTACTTTTTATTCAATAAAAAGTAAAGTACCCCACGCGTCGCCGATGCTGTTCACTAGTATGTCAGCACAACTTAAGTAAATTTAACACAGGATAGGGTATTAACCGAAATTGTATTAAAGTATAGTGATAAGCGACTGCTCAATGCTTCGGTGCACGTCTCGCTCGACGGCTATTTCCAGAGTGTCCTCTCCGCGTCGTTCGACTTTCCGAGGAAAGGTACCCGCGCGCTTTCTCTTCCTGGGTGAAAAAGTCCAGGCCACCACTTCGCCGCCGAAAGCTCGCATTTTTTACAAATATTACTTTTATTTGTCACGAGAAAATGTAATTCGCTCTCTTAACACGTTAAGCGCCATGTCAGTCACCGGTGACTGACGCGGCCTGACCGGAAGGCATAGTGTTAGTCGCCGGTGACTGACAGTATACTTTTCGTTAGTCGTCTTCTGTTTATAGTTCGCATGGCCCACTTGACGGAACGGGACGGTAAGCAAAACAGGCTGGGCGTTTAACGTGTTAATGTTCACGGCACGATGCTTCTCGTTCGCTGGTCAATCATACACGCATCCACACTTGCGCACGTCGCAATCGACTTGGCAACCCATGTTATCGCCTAAATATAAATAAACGCGCCACGCACAATCGTCTTCCATTCGTTCTTCCTTTCCAGGCCATTCACGCCAACTCTCTCCATTTCCCCATCTCTCCCCACATTAGGCGCTGTGCGACGCGCCTAGACAAGGACACACGCATCCACACTCGCGCACGTCGCAATCGACTTGGCAATCCATGTTATCGCCTAAACATAAATAAACGCGCCACGCACAATCGTCTTCCATTCGTTCTTCCTTTCCAGGCCATTCACACCAACTCTCTCCATTTCCCCATCTCTCCCCACATTAGGCGCTGTGCGACGCGCCTAGACAAGGACCGCGGGACCCGAGCCGCAAGGGGCCCTGGACAAGAATGAGCGCAGGCTGCACCTCCACCCCACGGCTTGCAGGGTCCTAACATCAGTTATTTTAAGCGCCTGTAATTCCTTAGTCTTACAAACCCCACATTAATATAATCTTTCAAAACTAATATTTTTATTAGAAGCTGGTTCTTTCAAACTAAACATGTAGCGAAC